GATGGATGGATGTGCACACAGCAGCATCAGCTCACACTAATTATGGTTTTGGCCAGTTTTAAATGAGAATTACCAAGAAGCAGAAGGGTTTTGCCCTGTGATTGCTCTGTGTGTTCAGAAACCCTTTCTCCCACATGAGCCCAGAGCAGCAGCCCCGGGTGCTCCAGGCAGGATGGGAGGCAGTGCATGGAGCTTGTGCTCTCCAAACCCCTCCTCTGCTGCAGGTCCCCCTGCCCACAGTAGCTGCTGCATTATGCACCACTTAAATGCAATTTTTACTGTTGACGGTTTCCAGACAACCCTCCCTGCTCCCCAAGAGAGAGAATGAGGAATTTTTGGCATTTTATCAGCTTTGCATCAAGCCTCTGAAGCACTTTGTGGCCGTTGATGTGCAGGGTGGAGATCTGAGAGGGTCGGCTCAGGTTTTGGGCTGGAGCCTTTTCTCTGCTTTCATGTATCAGCCACTCATAAAACAAAGTAACACCCAAGGGACAGGACTTCCATAAAAAAGGGACATTTCAATTTCAGTAATTAAGAGCTGAGGCATGCTGATAAATAATGGCTGTGTGGAGCAAAAGCTGGGGGTTGCTGAGCTCTCTCTGTGTCTGTCCCACACTGCCCAGCACGGGTGGCTTCTCCCAGAGCCAGAGAAACTCAGCTTTAGGATGGAGAAAACAACTTTAAACTGAGCTTTCCAAAGGGAAAATCAGGAGCCCAAGTTTTGATACACCCTGCATGAATAGCCTGTGTTCCCCCTCCAAAGGAGCCACTGGGCTATAATGACCCCTTTAAAAAGATAAATGCATTTTTAATAACATCTTCAAAGTCAAGGAGCTCAAACAATTTCCAAAATGAATAAATTAAGTTCTTGGAGCCTGAGAGAAGAACTCAGGAAAGGATTTCTGACAGATGCTCAATGCTTCAGTTGTGGCTGCAGATCTGCCCAGAGTTTCATCATGAAAAAAACCCTAAATGGCCAAATTTTGCCCACTGCATTTACAAGTTTGGGCATTTCAGTCCCTTGCACAAAAAGTGAATATTTGCTCACCTGTCTCAGTGTAATTCCCGTTGGAATTTGAGTGTGTGGCTCCCCCCCAGCTGCAGAGGGGATTTCACATCTTTTTGGGGGTCAGAATTCACTCTCTGCATAAAACCAGCATTTTACTTAAGACCTCCTGCACAAAGGCAGTGTCTGCACAAAAATCCTCCTCACCTGTGCTTGGTGTAATCCCTGTGCATTCAAAATCCTCACAAACCACCCCAAAAACAACCTCTAGCCACAAAACACCACGTCTGTGCAAAGTGAAATGCCAACAATTCAGGCTAAATAGTTTTCAAGGCTGCTTTGGAAAGCTAAAAATACACAAAACAAATGTAAATTCCACTCCAGTGACGAGCATCAGTGGAAAGATTGTCTTCAAGAATTGTGTCAAAAATGAGAAGTATTTTAAATGATGGGACAGAGCCCTGAGCAGTGATGTTGGAGCCCTTGGCCTCAAAGGTACCTTTGTATTTTCCTGCACTTCCCTTGTTCCTGGCGAGACGAATTCAGTGTCAGACACTGTCACACATATTTTTAAGTTGTTTTTGTACAAAAGTAGGTACTTTGGCAGGGACCCAGTGGTGGGGACCCTCCTGGGCTGCACCAGGTGAGGCACAAAGAGCTCCTGGATATTTTGGGAATGTTTTGCCCCTCTTGGCTGCCCCTGGAACTGCAGAGCATCCCCAGGGTGGTGTCACTGCCACCCCTCATGTCACAGGTGCTGAGCAGACTGGGACACAGCCCAACCCCAAAGTCCAGTGTGAGCTTACACAAACATCCTCCTAATTTGTATTTTTATTTTCACCCCTCTGTCTCCCTCCTTTGTGCTGCTCACAACTTGCAGCTGGAACTTCAGCTGTTACAGAACTCAACTTCTTCATTTTTTTGGCATTCCCCAGTCAGCAAGAAACGTTACAAGAAATGGTGTCATTTGCTCCTTTCGTTTAATTTTACTTAGGAAAACAAACTCCTCTAACTTTTAATCTGCTTACACTGCTGAGTAATGTCAGCTCCAGGGCCTGAGTTTGCAGGATGGGACCCAAAGGCCACGAGCTGAGCTGGGGAAGTGGTGCCACATTCCTTGTCACAAGCAAACTCGCCTTGCAATCACCAGTGAAATGTATTTACTTTCATATGAAATTTGGGGAGTTGATTTAAGAGCTCCCTGTTTCACCAAGGTATCAGATGTCAGATGATGCAGGGGTTGCTATGGCGACTCCCCTTTTTATATTGAATAGTAAATGGCTACGAAAAAGCCACATAATTTTATGGTTGCTCCCGGGGGATCACATAACTAATATAAAATCTTGCATTTTAATATATTTTCTGCTTCTTTCTTCCTTCCCTCTATTCTTTCAAAGTGAAAAAGCCTTTGAGTGAGGCTGGCCCTGGTCCCACATTGGGACTCTGAGCTGGAGTGTGAGAGCCCAGCACAAAAACCTGACAATCCAGTTTTCTGCATGGAAAAAAAGGTGTTTTAATCAAGGGGGCTCTGCAGAATCAACTCAATTGATATTTAGAGCATTAGGTGCTACAAGCCATCCCAGACTGAAGGGGTTTTTAGGAATGAATGGGTGGGAGATGCTCCATCAGCTCTGGAGCTGACCCAGCTGTGCTGCCCAGGATGTTTCCGGGGCATTTGGGATCACAGATCCCTTTTTTCCCTTTTGTCCCATCCTGGGACACCTCACCCCAAAGGCAGCATGAAAATCACACTGACATTTACAGTGGGAAAGACCCCTGAGATCACCCAGTTCAACCAAATAAAACACTCTGTGCCCACAGGCTCTCTCAGCTAAACCAGGAGCTGTGATATTCCCTGAATCCCATCCTGCAGATTTTCCCTTCCAGGGGAGGATTCCCCTCTCTGCCCAGCCCAGGCCCAGCCCAGGCTGCTCCTGCAGGGCTGCAGGGGAGCCTCCCAAATCCACACTGCCCTGGCAATCCGCACAGAGGGAATCAAAGCAGGGCTGGAAAATCCTGGGAAAAGGTTCAACATGAGCTCAGACAGAAGTTCCTTAGGAGATGGCCAAAGCTGGGGCTTCTGGGTTTGCTCTCCCTCGGTTCCTTTCATCTCCCATCAGCTGGAATCCATCAGGACACAGCTTTGGGGTGATCCCAGCTCCACTGTGGGTGTGGGCAGAGCCCAGGTGTGGCACCCTGGGACACCCCAGGTGAGACCC